TTTTAAATAGCCAAAAGGCAGAAGTAACCCAACGTCCATCAACTGATGAATGGATAAATTGTGGTATAGCTGTAAAATGGAATATTATTCAGCCAAAAAAGAATGAAGCACTGATACTTCATTCAACATGAAACCTTGAAAACATTATGTTAAGTGAAAGAAACTAGTCACAAAAGACCACGCATCGTATGATTCCACCTATATAAAATATCCAGAAAAGGCAAATCTATAGAGACAGAAAGAAGATTAGTGGTTGCTTAGAACTGAGAGATCGGGAGGGAATGGGGAATGACAGTTAATGGATATGGGGTTCACTTTGGGGGTGGTGAGAATGTTCTAAATTGATTATGGTGATGGTAGCACACCTCTGTGAATCTACCAAAAATCATTGAATTACATACTTTAAAAGGGTGAACGTTATGGTTTGTGAATCATATCTCAAAAAAGCTGTTAAATTATTTTATAAAGCTTATGATCTTAATATTTGGGACCTGATTTACTGTGAGATTGTTAGGGTTTTCCACTTCGATTTACAATATTTGCCTCATGCTTGCCCTACCATAGCTATTTGGAGTGGGCTTTCAGCTACTGGCAAACTGCACTGTTGCTGACTCTAAAATAAAGTTAGCATTTGGTCAACATAGCTTTGAGAAAGAATCTGCTGCTCTATTCTTTTTTTTTTTTTTTGCGGTACGCGGGCCTCTCACTGTTGTGGCCTCTCCCGTTGCGGAGCACAGGCTCCGGACGCGCAGGCCCAGCGGCCATGGGTCTGAATAAAGATTTCTCCAAGGAAAATACACAAATGGCCAATAAGCACATAGAAAGATGCTCAACATCACTAGCCATCAGGAAAATACAAATCGAAACCACAACTAGACACCACTTCACACCCACTAGGATGGCCATAAACAAAACAATGGAAAATAACAGATGTTGGCAAGTATATTAAGAAATTGGAACTCTCATGCATTGCTGGTGGGAATGTAAAATACTGTAGAAAATAGTTTGGCAGTTCATCAAAAGGTTAAACATAGAGTTACCATATGACCCAGCAGTTGCATTTCTACATATATGCCCAAGAGAAATGAAAACATATGTCCACACAAAAACTCATACATAAATATTCATAGCAGCATTATTTTAAATAGCCAAAAGGCAGAAGTAACCCAACGTCCATCAACTGATGAATGGATAAATTGTGGTATAGCTGTAAAATGGAATATTATTCAGCCAAAAAAGAATGAAGCACTGATACTTCATTCAACATGAAACCTTGAAAACATTATGTTAAGTGAAAGAAACTAGTCACAAAAGACCACGCATCGTATGATTCCACCTATATAAAATATCCAGAAAAGGCAAATCTATAGAGACAGAAAGAAGATTAGTGGTTGCTTAGAACTGAGAGATCGGGAGGGAATGGGGAATGACAGTTAATGGATATGGGGTTCACTTTGGGGGTGGTGAGAATGTTCTAAATTGATTATGGTGATGGTAGCACACCTCTGTGAATCTACCAAAAATCATTGAATTACATACTTTAAAAGGGTGAACGTTATGGTTTGTGAATCATATCTCAAAAAAGCTGTTAAATTATTTTATAAAGCTTATGATCTTAATATTTGGGACCTGATTTACTGTGAGATTGTTAGGGTTTTCCACTTCGATTTACAATATTTGCCTCATGCTTGCCCTACCATAGCTATTTGGAGTGGGCTTTCAGCTACTGGCAAACTGCACTGTTGCTGACTCTAAAATAAAGTTAGCATTTGGTCAACATAGCTTTGAGAAAGAATCTGCTGCTCTATTCTTTTTTTTTTTTTTTGCGGTACGCGGGCCTCTCACTGTTGTGGCCTCTCCCGTTGCGGAGCACAGGCTCCGGACGCGCAGGCCCAGCGGCCATGGCTCACAGGCCCAGCCGCTCCACGGCATGTGGGATCTTCCCAGACCGGGGCACGAACCCGCGTCCCCTGCATCGGCAGGCAGACTCTCAACCACTGCGCCACCAGGGAAGCCCTGCTCCTCTATTCTTGATGGTGGCTGTGCCAGGCACTTCTGTCTCTACCAGCCTGCCACCTCTACTCTGTGTCCCAGAGGAAGGACTTCACTATTTCTGGCTAGAGTCTTGGTGAATCTGGAGTTTCTCTGTACCTCTAGAAAAAGGAGCACTGGAATCCAGGGGGTGATTTTCCTCTGTAAATAAACCAGTGAGCTGGCTGGGCCCTGCTTCTTGTCTTCATCTGCCAGCTCCATATTCTAGGGGTTGGGTCTGGTACCCTCACTTCCTGCCTCAGCACAAATGGACTCCTAGTATAAACCAGTGGATCTGAGATTACTCTATATTTCTAAGGTAAAGCGCTTGGCCCACTCTCCATCTCTATTTTCTACATCATATACTCCGGGATCCTGATGCCTACTTGAACTTAACCAAACTTGCTGTCTCTACTATTAGGATGTGGCTTCTGCCTTTATTGTCCTAATCTCAGTCACCAAGAAGCTGCCAATTTTGCCATTTTTCTACCAACCCCTTCCCTCTACAACTTGTTATTTCATATTTGTCTGACCTCTCCTTAGGTAAAGGGTCACATTGCCTCCATAAATAAGTATACCAGGTGAGAATAACAGCAAAATGATGAACTCACCCCCATCCAAAGAGGGTCTCCTATCATATCCCTGCTGATTGTTGCTGTATCAAAATCAGACCAGTGCTGCCAGATCTGCAAATGTGCCAAGGACATAAAAATTCAAATTTTAAAGTAAAATGGCCTAGTCTATAAAATTGGGCTCAATTTTTTAAGATTAATGAAAAAAAAAACACTCTGAAGACTAAATAAAACTTATCTGTAGGCCAAATTTAATCAAGGACCACCACTGCCATACATCTACTTGGGATTTGCCCAACCAATTATCCATCCTCCCAGCAGCAGTCTGCATTCTGCCATAGTGAGCTCACACCAACAGTTCTGACATAATAACACATAAAGGCCAAAAGAAAAATACTGACCAAATATGAATGCTAACTGTATAAACACACAAGATACAGTGTTATTTTGGTGTCTCAGGTGGAATCCTATGAAGTATACATGTGGAACCATCAGAAGTCAGTGTGGTCATTTCCTAAGGAAGATACTCTCCGATGATCATATCTGAGTTCCACTTTTTATTGTTTGAAATGGTATTTGATACTGGTGAGGTGAACCATTAAAGAAGTTATCTAAAGAAATCCAAATCAACACAAAATAATTATACCTGAAAGATCTAGGTAATCTCTATTTTTTTCAAGGCATCATTTTATTCTACTAGTTTAAATAAAATCCCTCTAATTTCATTCTCCTTCTAACCAAACAAAAACTGATTTCTAAATTGATCCCTCATGGCAGACCCAGGTCATTTATGTAAAATGCAATGTTAATCATTGTGACGATATAGAATTCCTGCTAAAGTAGGTGAATTTTTTTCTAAGTAAAAGGCATTGTTCAAAGGTAATGATATAGCCATTAAGACTTTTTCTCCTTCCAAAAGGAAAAAAAAAATCAAATGATGAGTAGCTTGACATACAGATTTGCATTCTTCAAACATCTGTCCACCCTAGATATGTTAATGAATGTTCGGAGTGATTAAACTTGAATTTGTAGTCTGTGGAAAGAAAGGTAATCCTAGGCAGGTATCCCCTAGAATAGGTAATATATAAAGAATTAACAAACTAATGCACCATTGTGAAGCAATTATACTCCAATAAAGATGGCATGTACATATATACACTACCAAATGTAAAATAGCTAGCTAGTGGGAAGCAGCCACATAGCACAGGGAGATCAGCTCGGTGCTTTGTGACTGGCCTAGAGGGGTGGGATAGGGAAGGTAGGAGGGAGACGCAAGAGGGAAGAGATATGGGGACATATGTATATGTATAAGTGATTCACTTTGTTATAAAGAAGAAACTAACACACCATTGTAAAGCAATTATACTCCAATAAAGATGTTAAAAAAAATAATAATTTTTAAAAAAAGAATTAACATTATGTATTTATATATGATATACATATTTATACATGTATATTTGTGTATATGTACAGACACACTTTAAAGCAGCTATAAATTATAGTAAAACTCTGCTGGTGAATGCTTCCTTGGCATATCCATATTTTCTTTATTTATTATCATTTCTCTCCTCACAAGGCTTATGGTTTTCCCCATATTTCGCTAATCAAATTAGCATTTATCATGAAATACTATTTCATGAATTTCTTTTTTAAAGAAAAACAATGAGAGTAAATTTAACCTAGGCCAAAATAAATAAACCCATCCTCAGAAAAAACAAAAGTTCAAATGTACCTCAAAGATCAACTAGAACTTATTTATGTAACCCTGGGCAAGCTACTTGAACCTCTGTGAGTCTCTGCTCATCTGGAAAACGGGAGTGCAAGTCAAAACAACTGCTAAGATTTATTCTAAATCTAACACTAGATGATTGGATTTTCCATTAAACCCCTAAAGTTTCACTAAGATTCTGTCTGCATCGCTGCTACTTCATACAATAAAAAGTGTTATATTGTATAAGGAAAAACACCATGCTGAATGATAATCCACAGAGCAGCTAGCCACCATAGATATGTTAAAGTGTATAAACAGACACACTCCTCCCCAATAAACACACACACACACACACACACACACACACACACACACACTCAACATTATTATAGGGCCCGTGTTGCTCAAACTTAAGCCATTTGTAGAATTTGAGTACCACCTAAATTTTTATTCACTCAAAAGTGTAATTTAAGTTATCTTTTTTTTAAATCAGACACACCCTAAGCAATCATGAGCTTGATTGTGTTAGCTTTATGCATTTTTCCTAATAAAATTTAAAATAAATCCAGTCAATAAAATAAAACAAAATAAAGTAACATAAAATAAAATTCCTCCAAGTACCATCTAGAATTGGGTTATATACCTTCAGTGAAAAACATACTAAACTTTGGAAAATACCAGAGTAGCTTATAAAAAGAAAGATATACACACTGGTCTAGAATATAAGATTTTGTGTTAAAGGAATCTATTATCGTAATATTTCCACTGCATTTATTAGGATAGAAAATCATCAACTGCTACATCCATTACCTTTCATTAGTTATAGAATCTGAGTCCATACATTATTTTAAAAAGGGAACAACAAGGCCACTGGTTAATGGGTAGAGTTTTTGTTTTACATATGAATTGGCATAAGTCCCACTCTCGTCATGCCAGGTGTTGATGCCAAATCTTTTGGAACCATTTAGATCTGTGAACTGAGAACAGCATTTTCTGTGGACAACTGAATAATCATCATCTTGACAAGGATAACCCTATGGGGGGAGGGAGAAAGATAATATTAAATGACTAAAATATGTAAAAAGGAGTGATTTCCAAAAGTTGATCTTTAATGTGTTAGTTGTATTATGATCACAGGTTAATTTTCAAAAAATTGATTAATTTAATCTCTCAAATTACTAACACCTCTTGTATTTGGCTATTGCATTTATAAGTACTTCTAATTCTGAAAGAAGAATCTAGTTCATGGCTGTTTTATTTATAAAATTAAAATTATAAATTATCATATATGTGAATTTTTCTAAACCATAAATATACAGCATAAAGAACCATTTAAATTGTATGACCATCTGCAAAAAGACAAAAACAAGTACAATTTAACTACCATTCAATATCTTTTTTACTAATATGTTATAATCATTCCAAAGAATAATATCTTGGGTTATATTTTTAATAATTGCTATCAAGTCATACTTGCCAGTAAATGCCAAGCTGGAAGATTCATTCCTATGAGGAATTTATATCAGTATAACCCAGTATAATATTTAAGGTATTTATCCTTAGAGCACTTCATAAAAGCTTCTATAGTAATAAAACTAGACACTATCATTGACCATTTCCCAAAGGAAATATTGATTCTCTCAGATTATATCAAGGGTAATGGTAGACAAGAAACATAAAGCCCTTGCACTGATTATCTAATTTCTGCTTCAAACTGGTACTAATTTTAAAGCACTAGGACAATATTGAAATTAAATCACCAAAATGATAAAACAATGAAAGAACACCAAAATAGTTCTAACCTTAGATTGGCTTTATTGAAAATAAATGAAAATTCTAACCATATAATAATCATTATAGTGTCTATTTATTTACTGAGTGCCTATTATGGGTTGAACATGGTAGTTGAGTATTTATAAATTTTAATCCACAACAGGCTCTGAAGTAAGAATTATTACTCCCACTTCACATATAAGACCATTTGCTTAAAATCTCAGGAGAGAATCTAAAGAATGCTACTGATTCAGCCAGGGCTTCAAGCTATCTACCTGTAAGACACATTATCCCACCAGCACCCTCATGAAATTCTTAATATTTAAGAGATAAAATATATAAACAATAAAATCCAAAAGCTACATAATATCCATGTCACTTTCTATATAGTTTTGGGCTTTTGCTTTGTGTTGTTGGGGGTCTATTTCTTTGGGGTTTGCTTGTTTGTTTTTGGTCAGCTAGAGGCCCTTTAAATGAGATTAGAGCATCGCTTGCCAAACTGCCCTCTAAGTAGGCGGCAGGATCTGCTGATTTCTACCCCAGTTGCAGTGGAACTGAGGACAGCTTCACATGCGAGGTCAGCGCCTTCCTTTAGCATCTCCCAGACAGAGTGGACAATATATTTTGATGTGATGAGTGACAAGAATAAATGTGATGTTTTAGGAAAAGTATTCCAGCCGCAGAAGGTACTAAAGACTGAAGGTGAAAAGGACCGGATTCCAGAACTATGATTAGAACTGGATCTCAACAACTCACATGTCATTAACTGATGGATGTATAAACAATTCATGATGTGGTCTATTCACACGATGAAATATTATTTGGCAATAAAAGGAATAAAATACTGATAGTTGTATAGCATAGATGAACCTTGAAAACATTATGTGAGGTGAAAGAAACTAAGCCAAAAGACAGATTGTATGATTCCTTATATGAAATGTCCAAAATGGGCAAGTCCACAGAGACAGAAAGTAGTTTTGCCAGGGGATAGTGGGAGGGAAGGAATGAGGAGTGACTATTAATGGGTGCGACTGGATCACGAGGCACCAAGATATGTGGCTAAACATTATTTGTGGGTTGTGTCTGTGAAAGTGTTTCCAGATGAAATTAGCATTTAAATTGATGGACTCAGTAGTTTGCCTTCCCCAATGTGGGTGGGCATCATCCAATCTGTTGAGGGCCTGAATAGAAGAGAAAGGCAGACAAAGTAAGAATTGGCCCCTTCCTGCCTGATTGCTCAAGCTGAGACATTAATCTTATCCTGCTCCTTGGTACTCCTGGTTCTCAAGCCTTCAAACTCGAAGTGAATTACATCACTGGCTTTCCAGGGTTTTCAGCTTTGGTTTTGTTTCTGTAGAGAAACCTAACTACTACAGTGGGTATGGGGTTTCTTTTGGGGGTGATGAAAATATACTGAAATTGACTGTGGTGATGATGGTATGACACTGGAGATACACCAAAAATCACTGAATTGTATGTTTTAAAAGGGTGAATTTTATGGCAGGTGAATTAAATCTCAGTAAAGCCATTATTTTTAAAAAGTGGTAAGTAGGGGTGTGCAATTCTGAAGTTAGGAAAACTAATTAAGAGAATGTTTGTTGCCTGTTAACACATAAAACTGAGTGCCTCCCATTATCAGAGATGTATTGGTAAACCAGCTCCCCCCACCAAAAAAAAAAGCCCACACAACTGATTTGTAATACTTGACAATTTCTGTGGTATAAATACTCCTGCCATGGTTGACTTCAAGCTACCAAGTGAAGTCAGTAGTGAACATTGAGTTGGGAAGACATGAGCATGCTCATCTCATGCAAACTTTAAGAGGTGACACCAGCTCACCGTGAATCCACTTCTCCCATTTCACATTGTGTAGTAGCCATGCAGTTTGAGTAGATTAACCCCCCTCCTGGTCTAGGGGTAGAATCTAATTGGCCTAAGACAATAAGGACAATCTCACTCCACTCTCAAAGACAGTGATTGGTTCAGTGTTAGGCATGTGACTTGAGTTTGTCCAAACAGCTTAAAGCCTGAGATTTTGTTCAAGGGTTTGGGGGAAAAACATTCTTTTTCCACTATTGGACATAAGTAAGGAAGCATCTAGCCCAGGTTGCTGTTGGCAGCCTGCCTACTATCAGTATAGCATGAAACCAACACCATAAAAGGCAGGCTTGAGAGTCAGTAAAAAGTATCAATGACATTGCCATATCAATCCTTTCCTGAAGCCAGACTTTTCAAATAAATACGTGCCAATAAATTACTTTTACTGTCTGATCTGGTTTGAGTTGGTTTTTGCACAACCTACTAAAAGCATCCTAATACATACTGAATAATCTGCAATACTGAAACACCGAGGTTCTGAGAGTTAGAGCAAGGAAATAGAGCAAAAACAAGGGAGCAGCTGGGCATATATAAAAAAGTAGGAGTCAAGGCAAGCAGTAAATTTGTGCCTAAGCATATACTCAGGAATTAGAAGGATGTAAACATGGAATAGGTGAATAAAGAAGGTTTTCAAAAATAAGAACAAACTATTAGGAACCAGGAGGGTATAATTGTTATAAGGAAGCAGAACAGAGTATGTTTTCCAAAGTTTAATACAAAAGGCACAAAACAGAATAGAAAAAAGCAGCTTCACCCAGAAGGTCCTACCTCAGAGGACCTTTATATTGACTGCAATTCATACCCAAGGCTAAATTGAGATGGTGGGAGTTTTGGACAAGTGAGTAATTTGGTGTACCTCTCAAACCAAGTATACAGGGAGGGCGTAATCATTCAAAATTATTAGTAGTTTTCCCTTTTCGGTGTGTGTAACCACCCATTTTCCCAAGGGGAGATCAAAATTTGTTTTAGAAAAAAAATGGCAACCAAAATGCAAAGTAATATCACCTTCTAATGCAAAATAGGGTTTTTCCGAAAGACAACAGCCTTGCAATCCAGTTCAGTCTTGAGGATTTTAGAATATCAATGACCATACCTGGAAGACTCAGATCATAGATTTCTCCAAGTATGTAGAGGAAACATCCTTTGCCATGAAGGCTTAAACAAGAGTTGGAATGGAGAGTAGGAAGATAGGGAAGAAGTCTGGGGCATTGTAGGAAGACGAAAATAAGGGAAAAGTAAAGCAGGACAGCAGAAACAGTCGAGGCATTTCCCAATTTTCCCATCTGTTGACTTAAATCAGACAGTCTCATTGACATAGACAGAGTCTCATTGATGTGGACAGAGGGAAGTGCACTGGATAAATGAAAATAATGGCACAAAGGTATAAGGGGTCTCCTGGCCCCCCATCTCTCATGAGAACTCAGAACAGACCACCACTCAGGCTGTTCTTTCATTTGCCTGGGGCACAGCCAAACCCAAACTGGCGGAACAGCATCGTCAGGCAGAGGGAGGCTCTGAGAATCATCAATTCTGAACCACGTTTGTATCCTGTGGCATAAACAAGACCCTGAAGTAGTTGTAAGTCTGCAGAGGGAGTTCAACTGTTAGCTGCAGAGCTGAGCATTGGAGCTAGGTACTGAATGGGAGTCACAGAAGGCTTCTGTGGGGTCCACAGTATCTATGGAAGTGGAAATGAGGCTGAGTCATCTCAAACATGCCATCTCAAACATGCCATGAGGGCTCCAACCAAGCCCAGAGAAAAAGAGTGGCCCGATAGGGGGTCTCCTGGCCCCCCATCTCTCATGAGAACTCAGAACAGACCACCACTCAGGCTGTTCTTTCATTTGCCTGGGGCACAGCCAAACCCAAACTGGCGGAACAGCATCGTCAGGCAGAGGGAGGCTCTGAGAATCATCAATTCTGAACCACGTTTGTATCCTGTGGCATAAACAAGACCCTGAAGTAGTTGTAAGTCTGCAGAGGGAGTTCAACTGTTAGCTGCAGAGCTGAGCATTGGAGCTAGGTACTGAATGGGAGTCACAGAAGGCTTCTGTGGGGTCCACAGTATCTATGGAAGTGGAAATGAGGCTGAGTCATCTCAAACATGCCATCTCAAACATGCCATGAGGGCTCCAACCAAGCCCAGAGAAAAAGAGTGAGAAATAGAAAAAGACTGACAGTTAACAACAGCCACAGACTATAGCCACTTATGCTGGCAAGGGAAAGAGCAACAAGCTGGACTTGAGATATCATCCCAGAGACCACCACACAGAAAATGCTGCTCTTCCCCTCTGGCATCAGGATGCTAAGTTGCATCCCTCTTTCCATATACCCGGATGCCATCTCAGAGAAAGATACAGTTGTTATTGCTGCATAACTGGCC